ACACACACACACATATATATATATATATATAACTTTTTATTTTTATTTTTTTTATTTATTTGCAGTACTAATAATGTACATAGAGGTAATCACTAAAAAAAAATTGCAAGCAACCAACTTCACAATTTTGGACTCCTTGGGATGGACTGACTATCATTTCACCTTAATATAAGGTAAGGTACAAATGGTTTGTGAGAAAGTTTGACTGAATCACTAAAGAGAGTCGTTTTGAAAGAGTGTTTAGTAATCAGACATCACTAGTTGTTTTTGGTTTTTTATTGTTCAGTGTGGCACACTGATATTTGAGGATTGTGTGTGAGAATTTGGAGCGGGCATTTTCCCTGGCACTCTTAAGTGGCGCCTATACTGATTTATCTTCCAATTTGTCTGGGCCAACGTGGTTCACTGTTGCTTTTCTGTCATTGTGGTTTTGTTGTGAAATTGTGGGTTTTTTGATGGTCCATGCCATTTAACTGCTGGACTGCGCCATCTCCTGCTCGCACAGGGGGTGGTGAGGGCATAATCCGCTTATAAACTGATATTGTTTCATTTGTTGTACTGACCTCTCCTGCTGGGTGCACATGCAGATGATCAAACATCTACGAATGCACGTGCCTGCACATGTTCACAAACCCACACACATATGTACTGTCAATTTGTGGCACAGCCGTGTGCTCAGTGGTGTGTGTTCAGGTCAAGCATTAGCCTAGTTTTCAGTCATTCACTTTTTACCGAGCCGAGGTGAAACCTAATGCACTGTGTGTGTGTGTGTTTAGTGAAGCCCGGAGGCCAGAGATGGTCATATGACAGACGGAAGAAAGACGTCTTTCTTTAGCAGAGACAACAGACCCTCAGTGCTGAAGCAGCTGATGTTAACGTGGAAATGAGAAGTTATCATTGCATTACTGAGCTCATAAAGATGCATACAGCTTGACCCCCGGCCAACCCCATCACAGTCTCACCTGAGCTGCATTACTGAGCTGGCAGGACACACTGCAGGCCCAGCCGTGTGTTAGCAAGTTCTGCTCTCCAGAGAACGAGAGGAGGAGGAGTAGGAGGAGAGGAAGAGAACTAGAGCGTGTAGACAAGAGCCTCCTGATGCACACAAACACACTTTACACTGTATTTGCAACATGCGTATTTGAATCTATCGATTCACTAAAGAATCAGTTCATAAGAGTCATTTGTTTGTGAATCGGACTGCACTGTTGACACTTTGTGACACTATTTGACACTGTTACACACCCTTCTTATCTGTATTAGTTAATTAATTAATTATTTAATTCATTCATATTTATTAAACTCATTAATACATTCCATAGCTCACTCATCCACTAACTCATTATTTCACTGTCTGTATAAACTGAAGGGTGTTGTACTGGTGAGTGTGTTGAATGTTAAAATCTGATATCTGAACTGCTTCTCTCTGTTTCACTGACATTCACCCCATTCCTCTCAGACAGTCTGTCTGTGTGTGTGTGTGTGTGTGTGTGAGAGAGAGAGAGAGAGAGAGAGAGAGAGAGAGAGATACCGAAGACTCTGTATCCACCCTGAGCTAGTACAGGTTTGGAGCTGCTTGTTTGGACAAACGTGTTCTGGCTACTAACTCGTGTCAGTGTACAGGGCCAGTGTATATCTGTGTGTGTGCGAGCGCTTGCACATACACTCTTTCTTTTCTAGTTAAAAGTAAATGTGGCATGTTTGACTTGTGCCCTCTGCCTCACCTTTATCTGATTCAACCTCTCAATCTCTCTCTACACATCAATCCCTCATTCCTTCCTTCCAGTCATCTTCCCTTTGGCTTGCACCTTCCTCCCCGTCTGCCACACCTGAGGAAGCTCATTACTGACAGTCAACCTCCAGTGCAGAACACTCGTCTGACTCATCCCTCCATCAGACAGACAGAGAGAGAGAGAGACAGATTAAATGATCTGAAAGATGCAGCGTTGTCATTTGCATTTATGTTGCTCTTTTGTTAGTTTTGACTGTTTTTATTGTCCTCATTTGTAAGTCGCTTTGGATTAAAGTGTCTGCTAAATGACTAAATGTAAATGTAATGCAAATGATCTTGTTGTCAAAGGTTGTGTGTTGAAAGTCTATAGTGCATTGGTGCCCACCCACTTTTTCAGAGTTTGAGCAATGAACCAAACCAATCAGATATAGAATCACAACATTACAAACTTGTATTTAAACCAAAAAAAAGTATTTGAAAACAGCAAAACTGAACACACAGTGGTTGAAGGAGAAAAAGGTGAATGTCCTTGCATGGCCTAGCCAGAGCCCGCAGACTTAACCCCCATTGAGAATCTGTGGAATGACTTGAAGACTGCAGTCCACAAACGCTCACCATCAAATTTAACTGAACTTGAGCAGTTCTGCAAAGAAGAGTGGGCAAATATTGCAAAGTCTAGATGTGCAAAGTTAGTAGAGACAAATCCCACAGATTCATTTCAGGCTGCAAAGCAAAAAAATATTTTTTTGATTATTTTAAAGGGGGTGATTCTTTTCTATACCCACTCTATAT